CCCCCCCCCCAAAAAAAAATGAAAATAAAAAATCGTTATCCCCAAACCCAACTCACACAGATGTGTGCATGTACACATTTTACAAACTTCAACAGACATCTAGTTTAACCCTATCCGTTCGTCGTGTTTTACTATCGTACCAATGCGACTTGAGGAACTCTACTTTCCAAAGAGGAAATTTACTCGTTAACCCTATCCGTACATCGTGTTTTACTATCGTATCCATTCGACGTGGGGAACTCTGTGCCACCACTTTCCAAAGAGGAAATTTACTCGTTAATCCGATCCGCATTGCACTCTGTCAAAATGATCTTTTGAGAAATACTGAAAGTTTCAAAGAGATCTTCGTACTAGAAGAATTATAGAATGTTAAGAATACTATGCCGGGGGTACAAAATGACCCCAGGGCGTACGGATAGGGTTAAACGGGAGAAACAAAAAACATATTTCGAAGACCCATAAAGGACTGTTCATAACCTCATTGGTTTTCTTTCCTTCTTTCCTTCCCCAGAACCAGCTAGTACAGCCCACAATATTATACCGCGGACTTAGGTCACCTCGGGGAAAAGCGAAGTAGATGGGCATTTTCCGTGGTTCAGTACAAGCAAGGATCGAAGTAGATCGACATTTTCCGTGGTTCAGTACAAGCAAGGATCGAAGTAGATCGACATTTTCCGTGGTTCAGTACAAGCAAGGATCAAAGTAGATCGACATTTTCCGTGGTTCAGTACAAGCAAGGATCAAAGTAGATCGACATTTTCCGTGGTTCAGTACAAGCAAGGATCGAAGTAGATGGACATTTTCCGTGGTTCTGTGCGAACAAGGATCGAAGTAGATGGACATTTTCCGTGGTTCTGTGCGAACAAGGATCGAAGTAGATCTAGATCGACAACATCCGTGGTTCAGAGTGAACAAAGATCGAAGCAGATTGGCATTTTCCGTAGTTCAGTGCGAACAAGGATCGAAGTATATCTATAATACCCGTGGTTCAGTGCGAACAAGGATCGAAGTAGATTGGCTTTTTGTAGAAAGAAAAATTGGAGATGCATGAACCAAAATAGACGAATAAATAATTAGAAAAAATAAGCTTCAAAAAAATAATAACCTTGAGTTTTAGATGTTGAATGAGAATTCTTCGTAAAAGTAAGTCACGGTGTTGATGGACGTTATGGAGACTGAGGAAGTGACGTCAGTATACACTGGAGTGGTCGTTGCCTCAATCATCATGGCGGCCATTGTGTTCATATTATCCGTGGCTGCAGACGACGAAGACGTCATAACAACGGCTGCGAGGTTATTGGGCTCCGCCTTCGAAATCGTGTTGACGTCATTTTTCAAAATGTTTCTATTTATAGTCTTTCGGTTGTCCACATTTTACTGGTTACCTACTATTATAACTGTTGTGACCTGGATTCTGTTCCCAGAACTTATTGATGATTTTATATTTCTGGTTTACCTCGGCTACAAACGGTACAAGTTGTTATTTTTCTAAATGAAAAAAAAAAAAATGTTGAAAAGTAAAGAAAAGTAAAATAAAAAAACAGCAACATTCCAATGTCAATGTTTCATTTGAGTAAGTGTTATATGTATATATATATA